CTGAGTAAATTGGGAGTGTGAGGGGAGAAAGGGAAGGGAGAGGAGAAAATGAGGGATTGGGAAGGTCTGGTTGGGGAAAGGACAGAGAGGGAAAGCAAGGAAAGAGATAGCCTTGATAGAGGTATCGTTGGGTTAGCAATAATCTCGAGAAGTTATAGTGGTGGCTGCTGGTAGGTTTCCTTATGACTTTTCTAAGGTAGTTTAGTGTTACTTGTCCCCCCTCATATTCTTTCCTTTACCCTGACCTTCCATGGCCCTCCTCAATTAATCCTCCTAATCTGGTTCCCCTATTATGTTTCTATCACACTATATTATATTTGCCCTAACTAGGGAGACCCTCTTTCACCTCGTCCTTTTATAACTATGTACCCTTTGCAGTTATTTGTATTGAAAACACACACTTCTAAACTTAAAAAGCTAACATCCACTCAAAGATAAAACATTCAGTGTTTTTTTTTTTTTTTTGGATGTGACTTACTTAATTCAGAATGTGTGTTTTTAACACACTAACCATTCACTGGAAAATTTGATGATTTCATTTTTCTTAAGAGTTGGATAATATCCCATACTTGTAAATATGCCACATCCGATTACTTACCCGTCAATGAATAGAGATGTAGGCTGTTTCCAATTTCTGGATCTCATGGATAGAGCAGTAACAAACATTGATGGTATAGCTGGATTTTTTTTTTTTGGCACATCGCTTTTCAGATTTTTGAGGACCCTCCATACATGTTTGCACATTGACTGAACTATTTTCCATCAAGCCAGCAATGCATAAGAGTTTACTCAATATACTCACAAGCAGGTCCTGGCATTTGTTTACTGATCTTAATCTTTCTGATTGGGGTAAGATGTGATTTCAAAGTAGCTTTAATTTGCACAACCCTGATAGCTGAAGACGTTGGATATATACTTAAGAGGTTTTCAGTCATTTGTTTCATATTTTTGAGACTGTTTAATTCTGTTACACGTCTTTAACTGACTAATTTGTTTTCATTTTGGCCATCTTTTGCTTTCAACTGTAATGGGTCTTTCACGGTTCATGTGAAACACATTTATAAGAAGGCAGCACAGTACTTCAATCTGATGCTTATTCAGTCTCAACAGCATGTTCAAGATATCTTAAAGGACAGCCCCTTAAAGGCTCTCAAAAAGGAAGCATTTTCTGAAGCTCACTTTTTCATTTTTCTGTGTTCAGACCTGTGGACATTTGATTTTATTTCTGATTTCAAGTAGAGTCCTACTTTAGAGAATTCCATCTCTGCTGGAAAATTATTGCTTCTTATCTTACAGCAAGTATGTTCTTTGTTGAAATCAGCAAGGTGCAGTTGATTCTCATCAGAATATTTCCTCTTCTGACCTCTTTTGTAGACTTGTGCTCACTGCATAGAAAACACCCACTGGGGGAGAAATTCTGCCTGGATGTATTGATGCATTATAAGCCTCTATGGCCCATGCATTTTATATGATAGTTTTAGAAAAAAAATGTTTGATATGCAACTTTTTTATTTTTAATTTTTTAGTTATTTACTGCTTTTTTTGAGATTACAATTAATTACACTGTTTCTCCCTTCACTTTCCTCCCTAAAGCCCTTTTATACATCCTTTCCTGACCTCCTTCAACTCCAAGACCCCCTTTTACACATGCACACATATATGCAGATTGCATGCATATATGAATATATGTGTGTGTGTATTCCCTAAATATTATCTGTTCAGTTTATATAGTGCTGTACACACACACACACACACACACACACGTATGTTTTCAGGGCTGAGTTTTGGTAATATAAACAATTGGTATGCTTTTCCCTGGGGAAGACCACTTCTCAACTTCCAGATTTCCTCAGTTTCCTATAGATTTTGTGTAGGACTGGGACCTCATAGGGTTTCCCCCATCCTCTGTGGCATGTCCACTGGTTTTGTTCTTGTTTAGTTCAAATGTGGGCAGTCGTGTCGGTGAAATTTTATGAGTGCAGCTTTTGATATTACTAGGAGACACAATCTCATCTCATAGCAAACTCCCTGATCCACTGGCCCTTAGTGTATTTTTGCTCCTTCTTCTACAATATTCTCTGAGCCTTGGGTGTGAAAAGTGTTCTGTAGATGTATTCGTTCGGACGAGGCTCCACAGTGCTGGTTTTGATTGGCTATGGCGGTTTTCTGTAGTGGTGAGCTCTGTTGCATAGAGAAGTTTCCTTGTCTAGGAGTGAAGATGGTATCTTTCTGTGGCTGTAAGGAAGGTTCTATATAGATTGCTACCTTTCCCATTCTCTGAATGAGATCACTTGCATAAGTGCATGTGTACGTGTCTGTGCGTGGAGGCCAGAATTCAACCTTGGATGTACTTGTCAAGGAGCAGTACTCTTTGGTGTTTGAGAAGGTAGATGCCAGTGGCCTGAGGTTTGCCAAATAGGCTAGGTTCATAGGCACTCAATCACGCTGATCCTCTTAGCTCTGCTTTCATGCAGTTTGCTTAAATAGGTGGCTCACTGCATCAGGCCTTTTCTACCATGTGTTCTCGGAACTCAAACCAAGTCTTATGCTTCTAAGACAATCACTTTACCAAATGAGCTATAGTTCAGGCCCAGCTTGCATGCATTTCAGTGAAGCTTAAGGAAAGAAACACAAGACAACAACAGATTATCTGCAACCTCTATTTTGCCACCTCCTTCCTAATCATTTCCATCTATTTGACTAAGAAAACAGAGCCATAGCTTTCATAAACCTCCACAGCTACTCCCCAGCCTGCATTCATCCCCATATGTTCTGCCTTCTCCCCTGTTGTTACAGATGAACATTTTTAGCTGCCATATGACAGAGAAGGTACACAGGAATGTTGCATTGTTAGGAAGCTTGTCTAAGTTCTGGCTGTTGGTGAGTGAAATCATGAGGAATTTCAAATATATCCTGCTTGCTTTAGTACTTTATGAGAACCCATTTGACAGCTGCAGAAGCCTAAGCAGGGAGACTAGCGGTGACAACGGAAACTGGCCATCCTGCCCAGTGTGTTAGTCAGCACTGACAACTGTTGCTGAATTCCTTAAATGCTTCCAGTGGGACGGAAGCACTGAACTTTTCTTTTTGATTGAATTTTAATTTATGAATAGCTACATGTGGTCGACCAGCAGGATTGGGCAGCAGGATCTAAGTAGGTTAACAGGTTTCAGAACACAGGTGACTTGCATGACATCAAATCCCATTAGAAGGACTCTGCTTAGTCCAGGAGAGTAGCTCTGAGTTTGAGTCATTTGTAGCAATTCTCAAATCTAGCAAGGTGTGTGTGTGTGTGTGTGTGTGTGTGTGTGTGTGTGTGTGTGTGTGTGTTTTAATTATATATCTGGATATCTATTTTAGGCTTTTCTTATTGAACAATGAGTTTTTTTACTCACTGAGCATCCTTGCTAGCCTCTTGTGCCGTCTTTGTGCAATAAATTACTTTAACACTTCTTTTGCTGAAAAGGTCCAGGTAGACTCATGGAGCATGAGTTGTTCCTATGTAAGGGTTGAAGTAAAATAAACAAGAAAATGCAATATGGAGAGGGAGGCCTGCACCAATAGCCACGCCAGAAATAGATGTTGACACTAGCAGGAAATAGTGATTGGCTATCTTGAAGTAATATCAGTGAGTCACACGCTATGCCAAAGATAAGTGAAGTACATTTGAATTTACATGCAATTTTTTTTTTTGGTAGATAATTCAGCACATGACGCTGAAACAGTGCAGACTGTGCTCTATGTTTGTGTGGTGGTACTGGTGGCAAACGTGATTTAAGCCTAAAGGGATGATGGGTGCTTTCAAAGCCTTTATCTAAGGAAAAGGGTAGCACCTAGAACAGTGCAGCTTTTGGAGGGATAAAAGCCCTCATCATACAATTACCTCTCAGTCAGTCCTTCCAAAATTCTAACCTTTGAGCGAAGAAAGGCCACAATGGTTCCCTTGTAACTACTGAAGGAGACTATGATGAAATATTTCCAAAGCAAGGCCATTTTCAAGTTGTTCTATCTGAAGAAAGATGGCTGTGCTTCTTAGGGAAAATTAATAACTGCATGTGGTGGCACATATGGTAATCAGGGTTTCCAAATTTTCGGTCACAGTTTGGATTTTTAAAACTCCTGTTTTATGTTATGTTGTGAAGTGTATGTATTTCTCACAGATCATATGTTCCGAGTGTTAGAAATCATGGTCCCCTGTGCATTGCTGAGATGGGAACCTAAAGCAACTGCATTTCCCTTTTAACAGTTTGTTGCCTCTCTCTCACAGATTAGACATGCACATTCGAAAATTATTTTGAGAAATATTCAGAGGGTGGTTTGAATACACTGTTCTTTCGGGAATATTCAGTACAGACCTCAGCGTTCAAATTGGAGTTAGAATCTGCTCCCTCTTTGCAAAGCATTAAATTTCATTGCTATGTGTTTTTAACATTCTTCCTCAGCTAACCATTTCATCAGACTGGTAATCTGAAAGGGGAAGAGAGGGAGATTATTGCCATGACTCTGACAGAATAAACACATTATTTATGTGTGTATACTTATATTTATGCGTTTATATTTATAGCCTACCATGTATGTTTTTAATAATTTTCAAGTGTAATGAGGTACGATGATGTTTCCAGGAAATCAGACGATTGTGTTTTGTGGTACTGAATGATGGGGCTTTTTATCAACTACCTGGAAAGACATCCAGGCTGCATCTGGAAACAGCTGTTGTCCTACTCCTTGCGTTGGTAGTTTCAGCATTTTACCAAGGTCCCTCATTTTGTCAGGGTTAGAATTCTACATTCATGCCCCACCCTCCACCAGTCATGAGATCATTCTCCAACACTCTATCTTACAAAACGTATTTCTAGAGAGTATCGCATCTGAGAAACAGCCCTAAAACAAGTATGTTTATACTGAGTCTTGCAATTTCAATCGTTGTTCCATTTTTCATATTTAAACAAATCACCCTCAAAAGGTAAATTATTCTAATTTACCTATTTTATTTCAAACAGATCATGTTGTTTGTGAAGAAGAGTTTAAATACGCCATGTTAGCTTTAAACTGTATATGCCCAGCAACATCTACACTTATTACACTACTGGTTCATACCTCTAGAGGGCAGTAAGTATATTTTTTTTCTTAAGATAATTTAATTAGTAGTTGTGTGATGTAGACGTATAGTAAGCCAAGATATGCAAGTAGATATGTGCCTTCATTTGTTTTTGTATACATTATCTTCATTTGAAAGATATGAACATCTTAAGGAGCCTAAGTTTATCTTACTGGTTATTCATTAATCTTGATATAATTTTTATGAACAACATTCTAAGTTTCAACATTATTTGTTGGGTTTAGAGTTAGTTTCCATAATTAATATTTTTATAGTACTTTGCATTACAGTGCTTCACATTACTTGGTATTTTAGGCAAAATATTGATTATCTTACTAAATTCTACTGATGCTTTTTTGGTCAAGGTGGTTTTTTGTTTGTTTGTTTCTCCATAAGTTAAATTGTTGGTATTTAACTGAACTACTAAATCAAATAGATTAGCAGGCATAAATTTTCTTCCTAGAATGCATGGTAGAAGGACTCACTAATATAAAGAGAAAATGCTCAGTGGTATTTTAAAGTAGATTTCACTATCTTGTCTCTAATTACATTTCTGTTCTGCTGAGATAAAAAAGATTCCCCCAGGAGCAATTTCACACATTCTTACTGGAAATATTGTTATTCTGCGTGTTCACAAGTGTTTAATCTCAGCAATAGAAGGAGGTAGAGAGATCATGAGTTTGGGTGGTTTGTTTTCAGGAAGTACTAAGTAATTTGATTGAATCAAAGTGCAGAAGATCATTTAGACAGCAATTAATTGAACAGAGACATCATCAAGTGTATTCAATATTTTTTCATACTAGCTTTGTCATTATTACAACTATAATACTGAAAGTTTAGTTCAACTCCACTCCTGTTCATACAAAGGAAAATTCATTAGCATTGGTTAACAACCGTAACTCAGATTGTCTTGTGCAAATGCTAATATATGTGTTTGTTTGTAGGCACCACTCTACCTGGATTTAAAAAAAAAATGCACCTGTCATTAATTCCATTCAACTTTACTACAATCACCATTTTTATTACATAATTAAGGATTTCCATCCATTCAATATGTTGACCTGTAGAATCACTATTGCATTCAACCATAAGTTTCTTTAAAGAAGTGTCACTAAGTTTTAGTTCACCCAGTAGTGTTTAAAGTTTATCGTTTAAATATACTCATATTTTCAGCCATCAACAATTTTTAATTAGAGAAAACTGCACAAAAGCTTAATAACAATCTCCCTACATCCTCTCAGCCTTAACCTGCCACTAAGATACTCCTGTTTCTGTCATTTGTCAGTTCTAGACCATTCCGTGTGCCACATGTTGCTGGCTTACTTTCCATCATGGAGATTGACATTTTCAAAGTCCATCCATACTATGATGCACAACAACTGGTATTCTTAATCTTGATGCTATTCTACCACAGAAGGAACCACATTTCATTTTCCTATTTAACACATAATCAGCACAGATTGCTTCTAACCTCTGAAAGACATGTGTGTGTGTGTGTACATTTTGAGTTTATTTAAGCTGAACAGAATTCCTAGATCATGAACCCATTCTGTTTATCATTTGTTGGATGCTGTTAGGATATTGGTAAATTGACTACAGTATTTTGAATCTTATAAGCAATCTATTAGGGTTCCAATTTCACCACGGATTCTTCAGTACTTACAGCCTTCCCTTTGCTCCCAACACGCATAGGTGGGTGTGAAGATTCCCTACTGCGTCTCTAGCATGCACACACTCACGTATAATTACATTGAGCATTAGGTTTATGTGCTTTTTTGCTATGCAATAAAAGTACGGTCCCATATGTCATTGTAGAAAGACCATTTGCATGATGGAAAACAGAGAATTACTATAGGAGACAAATAGTCAAGTTACATAGAATATGAAAAACATTTTAAAATTTATGAGCGTTAGTTTGTGAGCGTGTGTATGTGTGTGTGTGTGTGTGAGTGTGTGTGTGTGTGTGTGTGTGTGTGTTTGTGTCTGCCCCTGCATGTAAGTGTACAACTAAGAGGGAATCTTGTGGCAGTCAGTTCTCTCCTCTTATATCATACTGGTCCGGGGTACCAAACTCTCAACTATCCCCACTAAGCTACCTTACTGCCCCGTATGGCTCATACTTTACTGGATATTATTAGTTCTTGTATTCAAAAGAAATACAAGCACTGACATCAGAATAGTGCACATTATTCCATTTGTAAGATTATACATTTATTAAAGTAAAAAAAATACTTAAGGACTCAATCAAATTATCCTTCATGAGGCAAATATCTTTCCTTGAGAAATAAAATTTCATAATCAAAGAAGACTGAGTAATACTAGGTTAAAAGTTTGTAATTGCTTTTGCTTTTCTTTCCTTTTTACTTGAAGCAATTGAGATTTGCATCCCCTCAAAAAACCAAAGCCGAAACAAAAGCAAAATCAAAACAGCTGCAAAAAAATTAGTATAAACAGTTCCACATACTATTGTGAGTACTTTAAGTAATATTTATACTTTTTGTAGTTTTAGTGCAGTTCTCAAATGAGGGCTCAGCATTAGTATGAATACTATCATCTGGGTTATTTGGACCTCTTTGAATTGTCTACTAACATTATTTTTCTGGTCCTGTATCCTATCAAAATATGTTATATATATTTATGACTTCTCAGCTTCTAATATGTGACACTTCCTATGGAGATTGGAGCTAGTACGGTCACATGATTTTTATAAACAAATAAAAAGGATAGACACAGATATATAGTTGTGTAGCTTTGCATGTCTGTTAGAATAAATCACTTGGAATTCTCCAGTTTCAAGAGAGCCCAGAAGCAATGCCATTTGGTGAACAATGAGCAGAGCTTGCTTCTTAAGTGTTGTTCTGATGTAAAAGGCATTGGGTGTTGTTGATTAAGACTAAAAATTGGACATGAACCTAGAAAATCTGACTGCAGAGAACAAGGACTTGCTTTATGGGGGTCAGGAAAATGATGAAAGGTCCATGCTGAAAGGTTTTCTAGTGGAGTTACAAAATACGTAACAAAATGTATTTTAAACTGTGGAATAAATCTAGTACCAGGAGTCCACAGCAATAAAAACTTAAAAGGTGAAGGAAACACATTTTTTTAAAAAAGAATTCCAATATTAAGTATAAAAGAAATGAGAAAATATGAAGCTAACCTTAGGAAAACACCATGTAAATGTTCTCCTTCTACAAATGTGTGCTAATAGTGGGTGAAATTTAAAGGAGAAACAGAAAAGCTGTGTTGTTGACATACCTCTCCCAGATGTTTCTTAGCTGCCAATTTCAGATGTGACTTTACAGGAGAAACCTGACTAACATTCCTTAACCAAGCAATTACTTTAAATATCACCAATAAAAAACCCCCAAAACATTTCACAACTCTTCACGGGATACATAAAAGACAAAGCTTATTTTTATTGCATTTTTCTGCAAACACTTTCCCCTTATGGGTAGATAGCAGACAAAGCTACACAGAAATCTTGCATACAACCCCTGGCCCAAAGACTTCCAAATGTCATGGTAGCAAAAGCAAAAAGAACTGGAGATTTTATATTTCATCATTTCACAGAGGTTAATTTGGAAAACTTTTAAATGCCCCTAATATCCTGTTTTGACTTGGAAAGTTCGCTCAGTGAACACTTTCAGAAAATATTTATTTGGAGAAAACAGACACCAAGATAAGATGAAAGCAAAAGATGCTTGCTATGCTCGGACACTCTGTGCTACTCTGAGCAGAGCCTGCAGCCTGTCTCGGCTCCATAAGTAGGCCGATGACCTCAAGTGAGAAATTAGCCATGAGCCATCCTCAGTGTAGTTTACCTAACATCCACATACTCAGTAATTTTTAACACCCATGAGAGAATAAAGGAAATTCCAGGGTTTTGTCTTCAGGAAATGGCCCAAGGAAACCCACCAGGGAATGAAGAAGAGAAAGGGGGGCAGGTTATGGAAAATGAGTGAGATGCTTTATCTTTTCCTGAGCTTGTTGCAGAGAGCCCAGGGAATCAGCTGCCATGTGGGTGGAAAAGAGAAAGTTTTTCAAAAGTAATAGGGGTTATAATTACCATCCTGACTGCCAGAAAGGAAAGGAAGGAAAGGGTGGGAGACGGAGCTCAAAGGGACTATCTTTAGCTCCATGGAAAGGTTCACACTCAGAACTGTGGCAGAAGACTGTATTTTGTAATGTGGAAATACCTAGTTCAGTGTTTGCAAAAGAAGTACTAGGGGCAATGAGGAGTGCAGTGACTTAACTTAAAATCCTTCTCTCTCTCTCTCTCTCTCTCTCTCTCTCTCTCTCTCTCTCTCTCTCTCTCTCTCACACACACACACACACACACACACACATCTTAAAGTTTGAATATGTTCGGTTGCAGTGTATCAGCTAACCTAACTTTCTAGATATGTAGCTAAGCTGGTTGAGTGCTGAGTGCTTGCTTAGCATGCGTGGATCTCTGGGTTCTACCCACAGCACCAGATTTTAAAAAAACAAAACAAAACAAAACAAAAGAAAAAACCAAAAGAGCTTGTTTTTTCTTGGTGCACATAGGCAATCCCAACATTTGTATAGTAGAGTCTGAGGATCTGACATTCAAGGTCGTCTTTGGCTACCTGCTAACTTTGAAGCTAGCCTTGAGAACATGAGACCTTTTCTTGATGCAAAAAGAAAAGTGTTATAGTTTTTAAAATTATTTGACCCTCTAATCCCACCAATATATTTTGGTGGGGATTTTCCTCTGGCTTCCACCGTATTTGAAACCATTAACAATCAATCTTCCCACCACATCTTCTGCTTTTGCCACGCCCAGCATGCTCAACTTCAACTTCAGTGAGGTGAGGAAACAACCCTTTCCAGTGTCCATGATGGGCTGCGCAATGCTCCCTCTGCTTCAGCTGGTTTCCTGTATAGCTCAGGTAGAGTGTAGTTTCCACTATTCAATGGTAGCCCAGTGCCCAGCACTCATTGGTAAGACTCAGTTCTATACGTCCCCACACAAATTGGTAGTAACACA